AACTAGAATAAAAACAACCAAAAGAAATTCTAACACTTGGAGGCTAAATAGCATGCTATTAAACAATGAGATCAAAGAAGAAATAAAAAAAACAACCTGGAAACAAATTACAAGCTCCCATTTGATCCAGTAATCCCATTTCCAGGAACACATCCTACGAAATCAGAAACACCAATCAGAAAGGTCATATGCACCCCTATGTTCATAGCAGCACAATTTACAATAGCTAAGATTTGGAAGCAGCCTAAGTACCCATCTGCAGATGAATGGATAGAAAAACTGTTTTACATCCACACAATGGAATACTATGCTGCTGTAAAAAAGAAAGAACAATTACCATTTGCAACAGCATGGATAGAGAACAGTAGGGGGGTGAGGGCATGTGTTGTGGGGCATGGGGGTGTGTGGGGAGAGGTCAATGAGGGAAAAGGGAGACATATATAATACTATATGTAATGCTTTCAACAATAAAGAATTTTTTAAAATTAAAAATATAAAAACAACACCCCCCCCCAAAAAAAAAGCTGGGTCTTTGAAAAGATAAACAAAATTGGCAAAGTTCTGGCTACACTCACAAAGGAAAAAAGAAGGAAGACTCATATAAATAAAATAAAAAATGAAAGTGAAGTTATAACAAACACCACAGAAATATAAAGTTATACAAGAATACTATGAAAAAGGATATGTCATCAAATTTGATAATCTAAAAAAAAATGGGCAAACTCTTAGAAATATATAACCTCCCTAAGCTAAAATATGAATAATTGGAAAACCTAAATGGGCTAATAACCAATGGTAAGGAACTTGAAAAAGGAATCAAAAGCTCCCCAAAACAAAAGTCCAGGACCAGGTGGTTTCACAGGTGAATTCCATCAAATAGTACAAGAAGTTTTAATACCAAACCTTTTTAACCTCTTCCAAAAAAATGAGGAGGAGGAATACTTCCTAATTTTACAAGGCCAACACTACCCTGAGATCAAAGCCAGGCAAGGACATCACAAAAAAAAATTGAAAATTATAAGCCAATACTAGTATCTGATGCACCCAGATGTAGAAATCCTAAAGAAAATACTAGCAAATTAAGTACAACAATATGTTAAAAGGACCATAGATCACAATCAAGTAGGGTTTATTGATTGCAGGAA